TATAATTAGCGACGGCGAGCGCAACCATGAAGTCCAAAACGTACCTGCGCCTCATAGTTTTCTCTCTAGGATCTCGAACAATATATTTTCCACCATCCTGCGGTCATCCAGTATCATTGTCGCGTGAGTTCGTCACATCGTAGTCGTCGTCGGTGGATTCGTAGCCAGCTAAGTCCTAGAAGTTGCATATATGCCAAGTGTCTCCCCGCAGGACCTTTGGCCGTCTAGAATGCGCCATCCTGAAGGTGACGCGGCGAGCTGGATGAAATACGAACATATTGACATTGGCGTTGGTGGGGCTGATGGTGGTACGAAGCAGAAAAGGAAATCGACTGAATTTCAAAATCGTACCTGCCTCCCGCTCTCATGTTTGTTTGTCGTCGCTTCCTAGACCCACACAAAAGTGATTGGGTAATATATGCACAACTACTGAAAAACACTAGAAGTCCTGAGTACGTGTCGTTATCCTTTGTTGAGCAAGGTCTAACGCGTCGTCACGCCTTTTTTTCTTACCTGGGATCTTCACTGTCTTATCCAAGAGAAATAACACTGCTTTCCAGTGAACATCAAGCGAGAAGGGACTCCTTCAATACTCTGCGCCATTATCTATCGCCAGCCCGAGTAAAAATTTCGTTGATGCCCTAGAAAGCTTACCCGATCTTGGTTTGTCTCAGATCGACCCAGCCAGTGGATCAAAAATCAAAACTAATACGGATAGTGGGGGACCCACCGGAGCGAGCGAACAAAGAAGACGATTCTAGGGGAGGCGGGAATCTGCTCGGCGTGTGTTTGTTCGTGCTTGGCGAATGAATTTGGCGGGGCCTCGTGTATAGTCAATATATGCTCGCTAACGCTCGCAACCAGATCGAGGTCATAATATTCAAGCATAAATACGTGTTCGGACCTCCAAGCGTGCCTCGTAGTGTACTTCGTTCGCCTTCGGAACACGGCGGGTTCCCTCCTTTGAGGGAGGCACCAGTTCCCGTGCACGGCTATGGTGCGCCGACGCTGGCTGTCGGTTAGCTAGCTGTAGCCTCGAGCTGGTGGTTTACGATGAGACATCCTTCCGGCTTCGTGGGCAAAGTCGTCTACCCTTGACGCATGGGTGTGTGCGTTTGGTAGCGAACAACAGATTTTTGGACTAAATTGCAACGAGGTAATTTCTCCTCAGCCGCTAGGCGTTGCGTGTGAGTAAGAGACTTCACATATTATTCATGCTCTCCAGCTTGTCTTCCAGTAGTGCTTGACGGACTCCTTGGAGGCGCGTGGACGTATTAATTTGACATTCTCGTTGCTAACTTTACGTTTTAAATTAGCAACCAACTTGAACGTGATCGAGTGCTGTCCCCCCCTCGAGCAATACTCACAGTTGTATTTTGGCTCAATATTCAGCGAGAGCTATCGCAGTCGATTCGATTTACCTGCAGCACGCATAGAAGCCTTGTTAAGGTTAGGCTTTCTGTTCATGGTGTCCGGTGCATTTTCTTCTCCAATGATTCCAAAACAAATCAGATTCAACGCCTGGCTTGCTGGTCTTGATGTTATTTGCTTTTCAGTTCTGCTAAGGCCTTTCTTCTCGCTGTCTGTAATGACAGTATCGCTTATCGTGTTGTTTTCACAGGTGAACCCTTCTACCACGTACACAACGTCTTCGCCTGTGCGACCAACACGCCATCTTGTCCAAATCAAGTGACCGATGAACCGCAACGCATGTCATTACTGCACGGTAGGCACTATACCATGCCTCATTACGGCTAACTTTATGAAGGCAAATAAGCGCCGCACATCGTGGTCGTCACGCTGGACATAAGAACCTTTCAGCACGCCTCAGCTTGTTCCCTCCAACCACCACTACAATATGTCGCTCTTTTCGAGACGTCCTACACGTCGAGGCACCACTAACGGGACCAGCGCTGTGAATAGCAGCACAAACACTCTTGTGGGTACTCCCCGAACAAACTCCCCACCGCCAGAGCCAGAGCCGGATAGCACTGCTGTCCCCATCAACCAGACGGAATACGCTAGGAGATGTCGGGAGGTTATGGAGTTGTATCGCGCTCTTCAAGCCCTAGGGTTCGTATTCGCTACTTCCTTTCGACATGCTTACATACGCATCTGCCGCGATGCAGTGCGGATAGGCTGTTCCCGACGTTGCCAAAGATCATAGTTATCGGTGGCCAATCTAGCACGTTGTTCCTTGTTTATCGATACGAAAGCTATACTGATTCATGTTTGTGAACAGCTGGAAAGAGCTCGCTGGTAGAAGCCGTCTCCGGGGTACGCTTACGTCTTTCACTAGTCTGATACATTCTCTCATTATCATCCAGATCAATGTTCCCCGAGACAGTGGGACCTGTACCAGGTATATAAATACCACTCAAGCTTTTCTTGGGTGATCTCACTCCTTTGCAAGGTGTCCCATGGAATGCACGATGCTCAGTTCATCCTCCACCTGGTCGTGCACGATATACCTCAACTTGAAGTACGCGGCAGACGGTAGCGAACTCGTCATCCCAAAGAAGGTAAAATTTGGGTCAGTTATTACGAACAAGGATACGGTCGAACTCTGGATCAGGCGAGCACAAGCTGCAATACTCTGCCGTCATCGTCCCAAGGAGGATTTTATCAACATGAGCACTGAGGACCTACGCAATCTTGCTACAATCGACTCACAGATGCTGCCATTTTCGAAGAATATCATCCAGGTGGAATTGAGAGATCCAGCCTTGACGGATTTGTCTTTCGTGGATCTGCCAGGTAAGACCCTCGTATTACTGCATTCTTATACTAATTGTTGTTTTCTCAGGGATCATACACAATGCTGAAGAAGAGACTATCCAGCTCATTCACGACTTGGTAGTTTCCTATATCGAAGAATCGGAGAACACAATTGTCCTCATAACTATTCCGATGTCCGGTCAGTTCTCTTTTCTCGAAACCAGATGAATCTTCCTCACGCTTTCATCTATAAGATGATATTGAAATGCAAGCAGCGGTGAAACTCGCAAAGGCTCGTGATCCCGACGGTGATCGCACGATTGGTATGGATATTCGTCCCTCTGCCTCTATAACCGGCGCTAATTGTTACTAGGAGTGTTGACCAAACCGGACATGCTCACAGTAGGCGCCTCTGGTGCGCGTCAAAAGTGGAGAGAGATCATTTTGGGGCAAGATCAGAAGCACAAGCTCAAGCACGGCTACTACTGCGTTCGCCTCCCCGACGACGACGAGCGCAGGCGCAAGATTTCCCAAGAAGAATCCCAAGCGAGGGCGAAACGATATTTCGAGGAAAACTCCCCTTGGAAGGAGTATCCCGACAGTAGTCGTTTTGGTGTACCAGCACTGGTGCACGATATCAGTCGTCTGTTGGTCGCGCTAATCGAGAATTAGTATGTGCCGTATTCTTTCTCTGTGCCTGGGCTCATTGTTACTTGTGGTACAGTATACCGACCCTGAAACAAAGTGTTGATGATCTCCTTGCTAGCGACAGAGCAGAGTACAACGCCCTTCCTCCACTCCCGCCTACCGACGAGGCATGGTCACAGATCGTTATCCTCATCCATCAGTTCTGCATTGACGTGAAAGCAGCCGTCGAAGGCAAAGAAGAACACAAGAGTCTCGTACAGCGCAACCGCGCTAGGTACGAGCAGTTCAAGCGCGACATCCTCCGGACATGCCCGGACTTCCGGCCGTTCGAGGATAAGACCCGGTATCGGGATCCGTGTATCCGTGATGAAGAGTTCGAAGGGAAGGATAACCCATACGTTCATATGGCTGCGTCCGAGTACATAATGGATATCAAGGACGTGAGGGGAGAAATTGAGAAGTGAGTGCTTATCCTTCCAGGTTCTACCGTGCTGAGTTCACCTGTGTAGCTGTACTTCGTGGGAACTTCCTGGCGAAGTTCCGCTGGAAACAACGCGTAAACTCATTGAGCTCTTTACGAAGAAGTGGTCCAATCCATCTGTGCAATGCTTCGACGCCGTGTACGATACGTCGTCGGCATACATCCAGAAGTTGGTTACGCAACGTTTTGGACAGTTCAAGCCTCTGGAGACGCGCATCAGGTTCGTTACTTGTGTCTTTCACTGCTTAATCTGAAGCCTTATGTCTTCCCAGTGCACTTGTGCGAGCTCAGATGGAGATCTGCAAGAATGAGGCTCTCGTCATAATCGGCAAAGCTGTGAAGTTGGAGACGTCTCCCGTGTATACCCAAGTACCGCATTACTCAATGGAGCGCTCCAAATGGTTCAGGAGATTTCATAGGGTTTATGGAGATCCTATCAGCTATATACACCCACCAAGCCCTGACCTTCGCTCTGGCCGCCGTGGTGGTAGACGTTACAGTTACAGCCGAAGCTCATCCCCGCCTCCGCCTCCTCCAACTCGCGAAACAACAGAAGACGAAGAAGCACTGCTCGTGATGGCCAAGGTCCGAGCTTACTTCGAGATGGCGTACAAGGTCCGTCTTTTGCTCAGTTAATCATTTCTTCTGTACCCGACCTACTACTCGTTATCTAGAGATTCGTTGACAATATCCCGCTCACTATCGAGCATGAGCTACATAAGACTCTTCTGCCTCGCCTGTCTGAGAGCCTTATCAAAGACATAGGAGGGCCGGATGCCGGTGAGAGGGCTAAGGAACTACTTAGAGAAGATCCGGCGATCACGTCGAGGAGGAATGTCTTGAAAGATAGAATTACGAGATTGGAGGAGATACGGAACAAGCTTTATGCTTTTAAATGATCTTTTATGTGTACGTCCAAGCGTTTCAAGTACTTGAAGAATGTATTATCTCTTGTAGTCTGAAAGAGCCTTGAGTTAAAGTACTAGCACGGACGGGACACCGGCCCGGGAGGATTATCTCAGCAACTGCTTTGTAAGCCCAATCGATCACAAGTCCCCCGCCTCCATCCCCTCCTCCAAGCTTCAAAATGCTCATTTCCCAGCACTTTGGACTCATTTTAATAAGGAAATAGGACCTAAAGAAGGTAAAAAGATGCCCCCATCCAGGATTGAACTAGAGACCTTCGCATACCCCGAAAACAGCAGTTAAATCCTGCTTGAATACAAGTGCGACGCGCTACCACTACGCCATAAGGGCTTACAATTTTTTTCAATAGGATTATTAATACTGATATAGCATACCATCAGAGAAAAAAGTCATTCCTTTAACCATGATTCTATGTTTACGCGTATATGAAGGGACTAGCGAGAAAGAAATCTGGTTTGCAGTAAACCTTTGCTAAGGTATGCAAAGGATCTTGAAAATTGATTGTCGACAAATCGTGACTAGTCCTATGAATCCGTCAGCCGTAATTAAGCATACTATACTACCAAAAGCCTCACTCATGTCCTCGCAGCCAGCACGAAAGCAAATAGTAATGCAATGAGCGTCGCCATGCATCCAGTAATGATGACGGATACTATGCGCGCGACGGGAAATTTACCCTCCGTCAGAGCTACCTGAACGGAGAAGTACCTCGACACCCCTACAGCCAATACCCCCAAAGCCAAGAGAACGGTTGTCGCTCCAAGGGGTTTGGCATATCCCTGCATGATAGCGCTGGTAGGTGCAAACGATACGGTATTGATTGCGATAGAGAATAGTTGGACGAGAGCGACACCAGTAGAGGCGAGGACAAGAGAGGTTCTCACATATGCAAGGAATGTCCTCTCCGAGGCTAGGTGGTCCCTTGCGACAGAGCCGTGGTTCTCCAAAGTCAAGCTGACACGCATCGCAGTGTATTACGTCCTCATCCTCCACCGTTTCCTGGATACTTTATAGTGTGGCTTATTCCAAATCGTGTACCATATCTGCCGTCGTGGGATAGCGAGTTCAAAGTCTACCCGCAATAGGTACCGCGATTAAGGAGGTGGCGTGGCAAGCCTTACGAACACCTCGCCGGGCGAGAGAAATCGTATTCTTCGAAGCGTTATGTTAGTAGGAGACATTGAGCGTGATTGTTCAGGAAAGGAGCAAGCATACTCACGTATGCGGATTAATAAACTTGGAGGCAGCTCTGCTTTCATTAACGTTCATGCACTCAGCTCCGTCCGGACCGAATGGACGTGTTACATTGCCCCCGGGTATAATTGCATGACTAAAACCCATGGTAAACGCGGCGCAGCTCGGGTTTAAGCTCCCAGTGAACCCTTTCAATCATCGCTACCGCGCGCTCGTAAATTTTCTTATGTATTGACAACGTCTTCAGTTATATGGAATAGCCTGGATGGTATGTTAAGGCCGCTCTATCGTACCAGCCTGTCTCAATATGTATAAGCCAGCGCTAGGAAGGTTAGACGAGCTAAACCATACTCACGCGATATCGATATGCCTAGTAACTGACATTGTCAGCAGCACTCCAAATTATTCATTTTTCATTATGTCATTTATGCATCGCGATGCATGGATAGAGAAGCCAACCTGGAGCCAACCTCGTCTAAGTCTGAAAGGCAAGAGTTTTCCTTGTTTTTGGTCTTCTTTTCATTTGGGAGTGAGACGGGTTTACTGAACGCGAAAGACTGGTTTCAGATAGCAGAAACCAATCGGATTTAGTTACATACCTTCGGCGGTGATTGATTCTCGTTCCGAGTCCTTTCCCCGTGCTAATGGAATTCGGAAACTACGAAGAAGGATTACGGTAAGGCGCATCACTACAGGGCACAAGCAATCTTATCAATTTTGCTAGGATATCGAGATGATCTTTTAGTTGCTATCGCGTCTCCGAAGAAAGAGTATCGGGAGAAGAGAACAGTGACTCGGCCCTTCGAAAATAGAGAGTCGTGGTGATGGCGGCTTCACGTCAAGTTACTAAAACAGCAATTGTCAACGAGTACCACGTGATCGATTCAGGCCAAGTAGGGCCAAGTCACATCCTCGGCACATGTGGAACTTCTTGAACTCACCACCTTCCATACGGGTTGCCTACGTTACATCTTCACGTCTTTCACTCCCAGGTTCCTGAACAATATCTTCTAGAAATTTCTGCGCGCAGTCTGGACCCAGGCAGCAAGGCCTCTGAATGTCCGGTCATCGGCCACTTTGTTTCATTCACAATAAGTATAGCTTAATTATCCTGCCCTCCTTTGTTCTTGAAAGCTTTGATGCTGACGCCTTGAGCCACCCATGGTCTACAAACCACGAATTTGAAACTTGTTGTCTTTGGCCGCCACCTTGTCCTTTGGCCAGTGGCATAAAAAGGAGTATAAAACCAACTCAATTCTTTTAAGATACCTCTTCGTGAAATCTTTGGGACAAATTCTGGCCCTCCGTATTATGGCCTACTATGCCTCTCGAGTATCTCCACGTTCGAGTGCACCCCCTCCTAACTACGACGAGTACTATCGAAATGCCCTCAGTTACGCAGAAGGAACGGATTACTACGGTTCTTGCACTCTTCCTTTTCGAAAGTAAAAATGGAATTGAATAATCGTCTGTAGGTTCTGTCGGGAATGAACACCTTTTGGGAGTCCCAATTTATGAACATAAACTTGGTCAGCATACACACCCATCTTCGCGATAAATAGTATCTACTATTCTACAGTCAACGCTAATCCGTACCGTCCACTGTATGAAACACGAGTGATAGATCAGCAAGACATGCTTGATCTCCTAAAAGCACAGAAGGCAGAGGTCTTTGCTAGTATCGCTAGTCTCGCACATGTCGTACATCAAGTAAGTTTGAACCTCGCCTTTCTGATAGAACATCCGTTCAACTCAAGCATGCAGCGGACCAACAATTATCGTTTCACTGGTGAAGCGATACCCTTCGAAATAATACCTTTGGTGAATGGGGCGATGCCTAATGAACTTCCTGTACGAAATTGAGACGGGAATGCAACTAAACTTTTGTTGACTTTCCGTTCTTCTCAGCATCTGCTTCCTGCTTTGACTAGCATACACGTTATAAACGCTCTGACCCCGGAACAACTCGTCCGCTATTGCTCTGGTTATGGGATAGCCCACGACCCCAGAAACATAGACCTCATGATCATCGACTTGAAGGCACATATAGGCTGTGAGGCTTGAAGCTGAACGATGGACCTGCAGTCAATCGATTAATATTTCTCATCCGAATAATACTCGTTACTTCTTATGCTGTCTTGCTCTGCTATGTTTACTTTCAACAGGCAATGTACTTTACCTACATACTCCTTGCTTTCAATATCACTCGCCATACTTGATTCGGGCAAACGGCATGTATTCGAAATCTACTTCGCAACAAATCCAGGTAGCCACTTCTCCACGTAAACCAAAAACAACTCTTGCACTGCAACAACAGTGTCGTCGGGCGCTGCAAGCGCGATCACTAAATCAGTACAGTGGAAACCGTTCGAGAGGCCAATAGGTTGATCATCTGTGCTCACGGCCGTACTATTTACGGCAGACACTGTTCCCTCTCTCCATGGATCACCTGATGAAAATCAGTAAGGATATGCATTATGAATCTACAACACCCACGTTTCCCGTTTGCAAAGAACAGCCTCGTGTTTTTGACGCCCCACCCACCGTACAAGGCATTGATGCGGTCGGCGTCGGGGAGCGGTGCCGTAGAGAACGCCTCGGGGAAAGTGGTTACGCACTCTTGCTAGACAGTGAGTACAAGACCCTGTTAGCTGCCTCCTGTGCTACCAGTAGACAGAGACTAACCAGGTCGTCTTGCCATTTGTTGAGTCGTGAAACGATACCTCCTTGTCCTATAGGTGGCCCGTCCTATGAAAGTTCATTACTTGTGTACCATGAGCTTGTGTGGGAGGTTTACTAGAGATTCTTCAATTTCGTTGCATCTGCAAGTAAAATATTAGCTTGAGGTATATTCGAGCATACACCATTTTAAACATTACGCACTCCAGCCAGAACCAAGAACGGTACGTATCACCAACAGGGTAGTCAGCTCTAGCTCCGATTTCCTGACAAATGACTTGTTTGTCGGGAACGGCTGCAGGCATCGGTTGCCGGCGCAAGGAACTTGAGCAGACCCTACAGAATGATGTTAGACATAAGTTATCTCGAGAAAATGTATGCTTTAGAAGTATCTTACGCGTCATCGTCAACACAATCTATATAATAGTCATCAGCAAGCAGACTAGGGATCGATTAAATCCATCACTTACCAGCATCATCATTATAGTTTACGGAGAACCATTTCGCCCAGGCCGAGAGCGCATTGTCCATTCCCCATCCGCTCTCAGGTGCCGAAACACCATTCTTTACTTCAAGTGCGTCACAGAACTGGTAGAAGGCTGCGCCAGGGCCGGTACTAGGCTGCAGATCTTGCCACGTCCACAGATCCCATCTCACTGAAGGTGCCGTCAGAGTCAGAAATCGAGGTGGATATGAAGGAATACCCACGCGCTTGGGCCACCTCCAAGTTCGACGTGAACCCGAACATTCTCTGGATCTTCCTTTGGGTCTGAGTATCATTGCCAGTGAAGACTCCGTCAATGTAGGTGATGACTGCTTCAACATCAGCGGAACAGTTCTTCGGCATGTTCTCCCGGATGGGTTCGTAGTACTGCCAGAAGTCCCTGCAAAGAGGATCTGTTAGTCTGGATCGGATAGAAAGATAATTATCAACGAACAGCTCAACTTGAACCACTGCTGACGACGCGTAGCCAATCCAGAATATGTCAGGATGTCTAATTTCAGACTTGTCAGTGATCAAGGACACCGAACCATCGCAGAGCAACTGACGCAGCCATCGTCCAGCTGACCAAGCCACCTAAAGAAGATAAGTTAGGACCTCTGTTATTCTAGATGGTACTGAACCGACCTGGATAACTTCCACCTATTAGGATCCACGGCGCCTTATCTGGACCAACACTGTCACCATTGTCTTGAGGAAGAACGACATTCTGGGAGAAGTAGACATGGTCTTCGATAGTTTGGGCCACTGTTTGATACTTGAGGCTATCCACGTTCAAGTTCGGGTAAGGATTGCTCTCTCCAAAATAGCGATGTTCGAGGACTATGGCTGCACCTCCGAACTTTTGCGCAACAACGCCGTTGATTGTACGGTTTGTAACATAGCCATAGTAACCTATAATGTAAATGAGATAAAAACCTGTAGGTGTATGGAATGTTTACCACTCGCATCGACTTCACCAGCGTTCATGAGAATTATCGGTCCTCCTAGAATATAGATGTCAGTGGGGGAACCCATGTCACATGACCGTCTCTGCACAAACCTGCTTTGTAGAACTCAGCGGTGTGCCAATATCGCTGCTTGAATGTTCCCTTGGACGGATCATCATGGTCAATGAGCTGGTCGAAGTAGTACACTGTATCGTATGGGGGTAGATCGCGTGCACACAAGTGAGCATTAGCTGACTCGAGGTCGCCCATGTCCACTTTTGGTATCCCTGGTGGTTTGGGGCGACGGAAAGGTGGAACTCGGCCTAAAGCATAACTGCTGAAAAGCACAAGAGAAGAGAATAGATGAATGAGCATCGCATCAGAGTAATCAGAGAAATGTAGCCTCTACTTAAGATAAACCGTTCCGGTCCGCGCGCGGAAAAGATTCGCAGATTTCTGGACAAGAAGGCGAGTAGCGCATGGAAAGACTATTCAGAGAAGCTCATCCCAGGTACTGTCATGAGGAAAAAGATTGCAGGACTCATGAGGTTTCGGAAAAACATCATTCTAAGGATTTCTGGATGAATGGCGAGTAAGTGACTATGAACAACGCAGACAAAATCTCACTCAAAAAGTAAATTAGCAACTAACAGCAAAGGAATCATTGAAACTCATAAAATAGAGCTTGGGACCACGTGGATCGACTCACAAGACCGTACTCCCCACGGGCCGGCAATTCTAAATTGAGACTAGTAGTCCTTATCGTCCATATAGATAGGAGCATAGGAGCAGAAGGCCCACTCATTCCATCCGCGCACATGGTCAAGATTCGACAGAAAGGCTTCGTCGCGTCTCGTCCACCATTATTTGTGCTCCCTTCGTCTGTAGGACCGCAGAAATAAGATCTACGTCAGGTCAGTGCATGTCTACAGGCGCTTCAGAAAAGTCTCTGCGGGAGGAAGTTAGATTGTGGCGAGCCCTTCGATAAATCCTAGTGGCAGAATTTCAGATAACCAACTGGAGAAAGCCATCGCAAGATAAACACACACACCTTGTGTGACCTTCCACATTGTGGCCTGAATTTGCCATTTAGATAGCTGAGAGTACAGTCTGAGCAGATATGTGATGAATAATGTATGGAATACAAGACTGGTATGCTCAATTTCAAATGATATCTGTGCCTTGATACCCTGGATACCTTCATATTACTTCATATAGATATATATACTTTATATCTAATCAATATTACTATTTTAAAATACCTCTTTTTGTATATTTAAATAGCTGTTATATGTAATATGACACTTCTGAAATACTGAATAGTGTTAGGAATATGCTAAAATATGGATATGTGAACACAAGATGAAGAGTAGTGATTAAAATAAAGTAAGATTAATTAGAAAGCATGTGTGTTATTGAAAAATACTATATTATTTCAACTAGATATTCATATAACATATAATGAGGCCTTTTTGAACTTTTTGTTACCTAGAATGCTTTAATATAGGTATAGACATGAGTCTTGATAGTAAGATACAGGCTTTGCTTGTATATCATAAGATAGGCCTCAAGCAAAACCAAGGAGATCACATGATAATCTGAGGTGCATTGAATGGGAGTTTTACCCTCTAAGATGGCCAAAATTTCCAAAAACAGCCCTGTTAAAGCTTGCAGAATTGTTTTTAGAGGCTGTGATGGAGCTTTTTTTAGCAAAAGGGCCCCAACTGGGAAAGTAAACTCTTGTTTTACTCTTTCATGTAATCTACTTGGTTCTACTTGAGGTCTATCTTACTGTATTTATATCATATCTCATATATACAATTATAAAAGACAGCTATGACCTACATTAAGTTTTATAGCCAAAATGACACATAACATTGGTTTACCTTATTACATACTAAAATAAATAGATATCCATGTATATTTAACCTACTTATACAGAACTCATACAAATATTAGGGCTTTGCACCATACTGTATATGGTATACGGCCGTGTAGCCATGGTACAGTGACGGGCGATGGCTGGTCCATATACCATACCATCAAGGCTCTCAGAACTAGGCTGACAATATGGTACAGGTATATAGATGACCATGCCAGTCATCAATATGGCTGTAAGATAGTGGGAAAATGTATTACTCACCATATTTGACAGGTGCACCAGCCACCCATGGGCAATGTATTTCGAAACATGAGCAGGTAGTAAAGGGATGAACAGGAGTAGGGCAGAGGCAGCAGAAGTAGGGAAGAGCAAGTATTTATGCCTGCCATAAGAAATAGAGCTTCATGTGAGTGAGCAAAATAAGAGCTAGCTGTAGCGTTGAAGAGATCACAGTGCTAGCGCATTGTGGTATGATGTTGAGCACATGGTAAACACATGTATAGTGTGCTCTGATGAGGGTTATTTTTAGACAACCCACATGGCCATCGAGTGCCATATAACAGCCATCTTTATATGGTTGTTAATGGGCGACGGGATATCCGTATACTGTCTGTGTCTGGGCAAAGTCTTTTGCCAGATGGAACAGATATGGTACCCATATGATGGCACCCATACAACCATACTATATGGTGACAGTGCGAAGCCCTAACAAATATATCCATAAAATTTATATTTCAAGCCTTTAAAAGTATGGTACAGGCTCATATATATGGTATCCATATTTCCTATATATACAGATACAGTGAACATTCTTATATGCAGTGTTTATATACTATATATCTGGCTGTACTGATTATTTTGTAAATTTTGTGACAAAAAATTCTGCTCAATGTGATATATGTCACACTATGTGACAAAGAGGGCATCGAGCCCGATGAGGTGTGATGTGACATATGTGTCACATCACACCTCATCGAGATTCAATTTAACAAATTCAACTTCATATCTCAGTTTGCTATACTTGTTATAAAAGTTCAAGATATCATTGTGTTTATAATCAGAGGTTTGTTTAAACTGTAATAGCTATCTAAAGCTATTTAAACTGTCAATGCATAGAGAATTCAATATTCTAGCCTAAAATATGGAATTTTATAATCATTTACTTGTTCTTTAACATATGTATTATTCAAATAGTTCTGTATACACCTTATAAATAAAGTTTGTGGCTTCAGTGAACATTGGAAAACACTGTAAGATAGCTGTAATATTATGTTAATAATCTACCCTATTAAGAGATACTAGAAATCCCTCAAGTATCACAAAAATATTATCTGAACATTCTAGTCTAATATATTGATACATTCATCCAAATTTTAGTGATTGCCACTTATAATAATTCTTCTGTATATATATTAAAGCACAACTAATGTGTCTGAGGTCCTATTACTATGTATAGTAGAAACAAATATATACAAATCTCGGTTATTGTCATAACCGGAGCGTACCAGTCTTGTATTCCATAAAATGCCTTTCATTAAGTCCGACAGCTCGCAACTCGGAGTGCAGGTCATGCTATTCAGAAGATTTGGAAATGATTGTTGCAGAGAAAAGTCCAAAGGCACTGCTACGTTATTCACATTCAAAAAGGCGAAGTCGGTAAAATGTAGCAAGATATGCGAGATGAAACTTGAGGCCTGAGAAGACAGCAACCGAACTTCTTGCCGGTCTGCTGCCGATGGGCCTGCCCTAAAGATAAGCACATCAAGACGTATCTTATACTTATCGTTAATTTCTCTCGTATCCGTCGTAATTTGCGCACATATATCCATATCTGTTACATGCAATCCCAACATATCATTCAAAGAGACTCAAGTAACTCTAAAGAAGTCCATCCCAGTAAGGTCTGGATCCAAGTTTCCTCAGTACTAAAAATATTTAAGATTGCGCCGTCCATCCTCGCTTCAATAAGGAAAATCCCAACCATGGAGGAGGTCGCGCGCGCACGTAAGGATTCCTCAGAGTGCGCGTGCTCAGAGGACGGTCATCAATCCATTTGAAACTGTACTGCTCTCCGGCCTCCTCTCGTAACCAAGCAATATGCTGCAGCTCCGTATCGCTAGGATGAGCGGGATATGCAACAGTCATCGAATTGAGACCGACCCCTACGAAACGCGATGCAAATGCCCTTGCTAAAGCATCCATATCTGGCCTATACCAGAATGCGAAGTTGACGACGGCTAGCTGCGGGACGAGTCCCTCGGAAACTTCGAAGCACGAAAGAGGTACCTGCTCACGAAAAGAACATAAAAGTTCCTGGAGGAGGGGAACCGAAGACAGGACCTCGGAAATTGCATTACCAGAGAAACTGATATTTCCGAGGTCGAGTTTGAGAAGGTTAGGAGGTTGAACGGCGGTGAGGAATGTTACGAGGGGAGTATTATCGGAGGCATACGTGTCTTTTAGCGTGAGGGAGATAAGGTTAGGGCAATGGAACGCGTCTGCGAAAGGCAAGAGAAAGCGTTGGTAAGCGTCGGCTCCGGCCAGGATAAGAGACTCTATAGGCAGATCGCACATGAAGGAAGGCCTAATGCTGGCATTGGTCCCTTGATGCCTGTATAGCACCCGGCTATGGCTAATGGTGAGCGACCGAAGAGCTGTACACAGGCACAGCGCTTCAAGCATAGCTGGGATGGACGATTGGACGTCGAACACAATGTTTTCGAGCTGATTCCATGGAAGGCGGAAGGTGGAATACGGCGCCAAGGAGTACAGCAGAATGTGAAGGGTGCGCAGCTGAGGAGCGCTGAAGAAGAACTCCCTATCCTGGCCTCCAAGGGTAGGACGGTGTAAAAGTGACAGACTTTTGAGTCCGTCGAGACGCATTGCCGTATTTGGGGCGAAGAACGCATCAAAGGTGTCGAAGGTTGCGTCTCCCCAACGACGGGCTTCTGCAGTCAAGCGCTGCATAACAGCACACTGCTGGTGAAGGGTAACCTCGGTCGGATTCTCGTCGGGGGGATTCTTGATGTCGAACAATAAACGAGCACCGTGCGACCGCGTCAGGTAAAGCTGGAGAAGGGAAACATGTTTCTGGTTGTTTGAGGGGCTCAAGGTGAACGTCGTCCATAAGGTGCGATTGGACAATGCGATTTCCCGCCACCTATGACACACCTGCGACAAGTGAAGCGCCATCGACATACCGTTATTGTCGTCGTCGGGCTGGATCGCACAGACATGGCCGAAGATTTCGAGGAGAATGTCGTTGGGGAAGTCCTGGACAGGCAGGGGGAGAAACTGGGTATCTGTGGAACCAAGAGATTTTAAACGAATCTGCTCCTGAAGCGATTCATTGTTCCGTCGGATACGGGCAAGCTCCATATCATTACCATCAAGCTCGTGCCTCATCTCGGCGGCAGCAAAGCGAAGGAGCGTCTCCTGTGCAGACGAAACCAACAGACTGGCCGTGGTATTAGTGGACATTGTGTCGAAACTTGACTATGATAGCGAACTGTTGTATTGATAAGTTGTAGGCATAAACTAGGAGGGTTCCGCTCACATTTGTGCGATTAACCAGTGGTCGCTGGTTAGCTTGCTGAGCAAGGCGTACTGGGAACGATTTTGAGGGTGGGCGGGAAAGGAAGAGGACGTAGGATTTATAAACCGACTGAACCCCTCTAGACCTTGGATATATCAAATTTGGCGGGATTGGATTTTAGCCGAGTGCAGATAACCGATCAACGACAGCGGACAACCAGTATGCGACCGCTTCTCCTTGAGTTAGCGAATGCACTTCCGAATAACAACACGATACTGCAATAGAACGTCGGCAAGGACGACCTGAACACCGCGGTTGGAAAAGATATCGATTATGGCATGTTATTCGGCTGACCCAAAATTTAATTGACCACAAATTCCTTCAACCACTTTTCCACGTATTCCAAGAACAAATCCTGCACGGCAACGACAGTAGGATCAGGAGCGGCGAATGCCATCACCAAATCCGTGCAATGAAACCCGTTTGATAGGTCAATAGGTTGGTCCTCTGTGCTCATGGCTGTACTATTTACGGCAGATACTGTTGCCTCTCTCCAAGGATCGCCTAAAAGACGTCAGGGACATAATACGCGAGAAAGCCACTTGGAAACTCACGTTTACCGGTTGGCGAAGAATAGTCTTTTGTTTTTGACACCCCATTCGCTGTAGAGGGCATTAATTCGGTCACCGTCGGGATGCGGGATCGTAGGAAATGCATCCGGAAATTCGACGACGCATGATCGCTTAACAAAGACATTAGCCTAGTATTAACACCGTCAAACTATAAGACTGACCTGATCACTTTCACCAGTGTTTAAGCGCGAAACAATACCGCCCTGTTCGATTGGCGGACCGTCCTGATATTCGTCAGTTTATTTCTTCGTAAAGTTGCGGGAGCACCCACCAAAAAGCCGAGTCGAGTTCGTTACATCTATCAATGAAGATCCTTAAGACACGAAAAGTTCAATTATGGCAGAAAACGTACTTCAGCCAGAGCCAAGAACGATATGTGTTACCAACAGGATGGTCCGCGCTAGCTTCGAGTTCCTTGGAGATTATTGCAGGCGTCGGTGGCTGACGAGAAGTATCACCTGTTGAGCATGATTAATGATCACCTCGTTTGTTGAGGAAACTGGAATGACACTCACTGGCATTAACTGTACTATTTGTGGGCGTTAACCATTTAGCCCATGCTGAGAGCGCGTTCTCAACTTCCCATCCACTCTCTGACGCTGAGACACCATTCTTCACCTCAAGTGCATCGCAGAACTGGTAGAAAGAGGACCATGGACCGGTACTAGGCTGTAGCTCCTGCCACAACCACAGATCCCATCTCACTGAAAGCACTGTTAACTTGAGAGAACGAGGCTCAAAGTCCGGGAGCACCCACGAGCTTCGGCTAATGCCAAGTTAGTTGAATTGAAGCCGAACAGACTGCAGATCTTCATCTGCGCTTCGGTATCAGTGCCAAAGAAAATTCCGTCGATGTAGGTGATGACGGCTTCAACATCGGCAGAGCAGTTCTTTGGTGTTGAAGCCGTCATCACCTACATCGACGAAATTTTCTTTGGCACTGATACCGAAGCGCAGATCTCGCGTATTGGTTCAAAGTATTGCCAAAAGTCGCTGTGGATATACGTGAGTTCAAGAATGATGGAGGAATGAGCCTAGACGTACAGCTGTACTTGCACAACTGCCGATGACGCGTAGCCTATCCAAAATACGTCGGGATGCCTGGTAGACAATTATCAATACTTAGCAATGTCAAAAGAGCAGAGGACAACTTACGCGGCCATCGTCCAACTGACCAAACCACCTAGGAATGAAACATTAGCAAGGGCATCTTCGCATGTGGCACCACGACACTTACCTGGGTAGCTTCCTCCTATCAGGATCCACGGAGCCTTATCCGGACCTACACTGTCGCCATTGTCTTGAGGAAGAACGACGTTTTGAGCAAAATATACGTGATCCTCGACAGTTTGAGCCACGGTCATATACTTCAGACTGTCAACGTTCAGGTTCGGATAAGGATTACTCTGGCCGGAAAAGCGATGTTCAAGGACTATTGCTGCACCACCAAACTTTTGAGCGACAACCCCATTGATTGTCCGGTCTGTTACGTAGCTGTGGTAGCCTACGACGAG